TCGCTTCAAACCGCCGCCCAGACCACCGCCATCTCCTCCCTCTCGTCGTTCCGCCTCCGTCACCGCCTGAACCCCTCCCCGAGCTCGACCACCCCTGGCCGTTCAGCCGCCGACCATTTCTGTCACCACCAAGCCGCCCATCTCCTCTTCTCTCCATCACCTCCATCTTCACCACGATCACCACGCCAGTCGAGATCCCCTGACCTGCGCGACCACCGCCATCTCAGCGCCACCGGACCCGCCACCCCCTCGTCCTCCTTCTCTCCTCGCCGTCAGCAGTGCCCGCCGCCTGAACCCAAGCTCCGATCGTCGCTGTCCTCCGTCGAGCTCTACCATCTCGCCGCCGCCTCGAAACCCTCATCCCGATCTGCCAGTCCTCAGCCACTACAACTCACGCTGCTGTCGCTGCCCTCCGACAGTCCACCGTCTCCTTGTTGCCACACCTCGGCACCGCCGCCCGTCATCTGACCCCCTGGTCTCGTAGGCAAGATCTCGTTTCCCCTTGGCTTGTTATTCCATTATTTATATTCGTTATTAGTTGATTGCGTAGATTATGCTGTGATATGATTAGCTGTAGTATATTTTGAATTAATTACGTGGGTTGTTTCGTGAATAATATTGATTTATATCATAGTTGTGTGATAAATAGTATTTTCAAAATAATGATAATGAAGTGAAAGAAATTATTTGATCACGGAATTAATTTAGAGAATTTATAAGAATTAAAAAGAATTTATTTTGAGAAAAGATTATTTTAGAATAATTATAATTAATTTAGAGAATTTATAAGAATTAAAAAGAATTTATTTTGAGAAAAGATTATTTTAGAATAATTATTATGATTTAAAAGAATTTATTTCGGTTAAAAAGAATTTATTTTGAGAAAAGATTATTTTAGAATAATTATTATGATTTAAAAGAATTTATTTCGGCAGTGGAATCATTTTTGGAATTTTTATATTAATTAAAAGAATTTGTCTGAGAACAGAAAAATTATAATAATTTAAAAAGAATTATTTTCGGTAAAAGAATTATATTTTTGATAATTATGATGATTTAAAGGAATTTATTTGCAAAAATAATTATCTATTTTGGATTTAAGAAATTTATGATTTTGTATGAATAATTTAGAAGGCTGGATAACAAGATATTGATGAAACCGGACTGCATGTATGTTTTTACTATTTACGATCATATTTCACGTTTTGCATTTATTTAATGTATTTGACATGTCTGTTATGTATTATCCATGTTGTGTTTGAGAACCCTTAATAGTTCATGACTTAGTGGCCTCGTGCGTCATGAACAGACTTAGTGACATGTGTGAGTGTGTTGACTGAGTTTAGGTGGTGAACCCGAGTTTTAATGAGGTTTATGGTTGACTTAGACAAACAAGAAGAGTTGGGATGGAGAAGTTAATGTTCATGTGATCGGATAAGACTGTTGATGTATCTTCCAGGCTCGCTCCCGTGGTTGGTGTCGCCACCGGGGTTGGTTTGTAGGGCTAAAGTGAAGTGTGTACATCACTTTAGTCAGTGAAATCGTTTCGTCACCCGAGTTCTGTTTGAAGTTCGAACCAGGCAGAAAACGATTTATGTGTAGTCCTCTAGGCCGCATGTGTAGCGGGATTGGATGCACGTAGGGGATTTGTGAACAGTCAATTATCCGGTGATATGAGCGTTGGCTCTGTGTGAGATGTGACCAGTGACCTGTTATAGAATGACTAGTTAGTAGGCTAGTTGTGTTTTCTGATCATATATAGATCGGGATGAATAATTAATTATCTACAATTCGAGACATATGGTATATACATGAGGGTTTCCTTGTTTGGATTATTTTGCTCGACGTACTACGTCTCTTGTTGTAGATTTTTAAGTATTAATTCCATTTAGTGTATGCCCTTGTGACTCGGATGATTATTCTGATCGCTAGCTGCATGATTTTATTACCCGATTGATTTACGTATTCTTATGATTATCATGTTTTGGTCGTGGATTGCATGTTGATTTCGTTGGATTTCAGTTGTACATTCTTTTGTTGTTTCTGTTATCGTATCGTTTTTCGCATTAGATTTCCATTCGTTCTATTTTCTTTGTGGGGTCGGGTCTTGCCGTGCGCCATGCACCTGACGTACACCTATTTTCTCTGGTGTACGTCAGACTTAGATGAAGAACATGTCTAGCTTGGAGATACGCCAGGAGCCAGATGACTCTTAGTAGGAGTACCTTGCAGACGTAGCAGAAGAAGAAGCCGAAGCTTAGTCATCTCTTTCTTATCAGTTAGTCCTTAGTTTACTTTTGTAGTTCTTTCTACTTCTGTTGATCGTTGTATATTATACTTTCCAGTATTTCATTCAGATCGTTTTGTATATGGGCATGTTGGCCTGCATATTATGTCTGGGATAATATTCATTTGTGATATGTATTATTTTATTCTGTGTTGTTCATTATATTCTTGCTATCTGTGATCGGGGACCTGTGACTTCGCATTATTTGTATTTCTTAACGCTTAGCGTATTAGATTGAGAAGACAGGGTCTAGCACTTATCTCTCCTCAGTCTAATACGTCGCGGGCTTGTTCACGTCCCGATTCCCCGGTATTTTGGGAAGCGGGGCGTGACAAGGGTTTAGGTTGTGAGATTGTAAACCCTAGTTGTATTCTCTCTCTAATAGTAGATTTCCCCCCTCCTTGCCCCGTGGACGTAGGCAACTTGTCGAACCACGTAAAATAGTTTGTCTTGCTGTGATTTGTAATAGCTTGTAGGTTCCCTCGACAAGCCAGTCCTAGAACTGATGAGAGGAAGAGCTGATAGCTCATTTTGTTGAGATTTTTGCTTTCGGTTATTGTTTCCTTTGTGAAACGAGAATTTCGTTGTGATCTAATCTCTTGTTATGCACATTGCGCACCAAAGGTGCTGCCGAAATTTCCGTTATGCACAACAAAGCCGTGGGAGGTTTGTCGGAAGGGAGGGGGAGTGAGTTCCACGAGAACTCCACGTACCGTAAATCGCCCGAAAAAGATCTGGAAGTGTGGGGAAGTAAGTTGGAAGTGGAGGGATGTAAGAGTAGTAGGTAAAGGAGAGCACCAGGAGAAATGACGAGATAAGGGAGTAGGAGACAGAAGAGATTGCGATTGAGGAGTGAAGGCAAATTTGTCCTTATGGTCCTTGAACTTGGACCACTTGAGGCATTTTGGATTATGAGAAGAGATATATATACGATGATGAAGATAAATTGTTTGATTTTAGAGAGTTTTAGCAAGATCTTGAATCTACGGAAATTTAAAAGAATTGTTCGAACTTTGAGGGAGTTTAGGCGGGTGGACAACATTGACTAATTTGTTGATTGAAATCCCACAAAACAATAACTTAAGATACAAGTTGTTCAGATGTATGTGTACTTTATAAGAAAACAAAGTGTTGTTCAGATGTACGTGTACACGCACACACTTTCTAAATCACTTTAATACATATATCATTCTAAGTTCATTATTTTGATATATTCAGTCTTTTTGGTACTAATATAATGCACCTGTTTTGCGCGTGACCATATTTGTGTTGTGTTTCAATTTTTTTCGTTGACTAGAAAAGGGAGAAGTAACTTTTATAACCATATGAATTCTTACATTAATTAGAAAAATTAAAATTCGTGTTAATAAATGAAATTTGTAAATAGAATTGTGTATAAAGAGTTGTATAAGTAATTATTAAGTTGAATTATAATTATAATTTAATCATATTATTTAATAGTTATAGCTTATTCTATAATTAGTTAATATTATAATATATTTTAATAATTATAATAGTATAATTGTAATTTGGGATAATTATAATAAATTATTATCGTATTTATAATAATTATACATAGTATAGTAATAATCCTAATGACAACTATAAAACAATATGGTAATATAAATTTATTAAATTATTTTATTGAATTAATTATTAAATTATTTATTTACTAGTATAAATATTAAATAATACTATTACTATTAATTTAAGTAATAGTATTAAAATAATTTTAATAACTTATACTATTAAGTATTTATAATATTTTATTATTTATTATTTTATACCATTAAATATTTATGATATATTATTATTTATTGTAATATTTATGAAATATAATAATCAATTATATTCTTAGGATTGACCAAAGGTTTTGGGAATGTAAATAGTTGCATAGTTAATGAGAGCTTATGAGTAATTAGTAAATGGTTAACTAGATATAACTGATATAATTGAGGATTATCAAACTTTAGAGGGAAAAATCAAAAGTTTCAACATAGCAATCCTCTTTATAAATAGTTTAGTATAGATTTTATTTTTTTCTCTATTAAATCAAGTAGGTTTGACTTGTTCAGGTGATTAGATTCATGAATTTTCTAATGGGCCACAGTCTTGAGCCAGAATTCCAATGAATAGTGTATATATCAAATAAATTTAAGGGTTAGTTTCAGAGACGACCTCAATTGTGGGAAGTGTCTCAGAAAATCCTCCTTGACTGTTTTAATTCTAGTAAACCCCCGTCAATCTTGAGGGTGTTGTAGATAACCCCTCTCAACTAAATTTTTTTGATTTAACCTCCCCAAACTTTTCTCGCTTCACCCCCAGAAACTAACACTATTAAGTTTAATGTGTCGACACATGAAAACGGGATTGGTCTTTTTTACACTTTCATCTACAACTAGTTAAGGTTCTATTTGAAAATTTTTGGGGTTTTATGAAATAAACCAAACTTAAGGGGTGTTACATGCACTAGAGCGATGTCAACCATCGGATCTACGAATAAACATAAATGTTCAATGATCCAAGGGTCGCTATTCCTTTGATGCGCATTTAATACCATATAGAGTGGTTGATGCATAAAAAACATGCATGATCGAATGTACTAAACCAAAAACATTCTTATTTTGGATAATCCAAAAGTAGACAATCAGTTGATGCTTACTAAACCATCCACTAGACGTGGATAGTTGAATAATTTTTCATAGTGCCTTACCTATGATGCATGGCGACACTCTCAGAATGGACGACATCAAATGGCTCTATGCGGTTCTCAGCCTCGTAGAGCTCCCATGCTTCCTCACATTGCCACTGGTTCGGTCGTCCCTTGAGAGCATGTATTTTCAGGTACTCAGACGAGATATCGTATTTCTCACTGACAGGTGCAGCAGCAGTGAAAACATGGATTCGATGCCCACGACGGGACAAAAAGGAGTGAAGAGTTAAAGCGTGACGCTCCATACCACCCGGAGCAGATAAAACGGGCCATTTACGAGAAAATACGGCGATTCTGAGGGAAGTCGGGGCAGGTTTGTCGAAAGGGAGGGGAAGCGAGTTCCATGAGAATTCAGCATCGCGTAAGTCGCCCGAAAAGGATCTGGAAGTGTTGGAAGTGGAGGGCTGTGAGAGTAGGTAGAGGAGAGCACCAGGAGAAATAGTTAGGAGAGGGAGGAGGAGGCAAGTTAGAATGCGACTGAGTGAAGGGAGGTTCGCCCTTTTAGTCCTGGAATATGGACCACTTGAGCGCATTTTGGATTATGAGAAGAGATGTAATGACGAAGATCAGGCTATTTATGGAAGTTTTAGCGTTACACTTTTGAGGGGAAATGGGAACCTTGATTGAAGATGAGAAAGAGGATACGCAGGTACATCTAGGGCTGGTACGTATTAACGAAGAGTCAATGAGATTTAGAAACTTTGCGTAAGATCTTGAATCTATGGAATTCTTGAAGTGATTGTTTGAACTTCGAGGGAGCTTAGGATGATGGCTTTGACCAAGGAATTACATCCAAAATAAAGTAAACTAATAGATAAATAATTGTTGTTGGATCCCGAGTAAGATTTTGCGTTCGCTCTAATTAAGAAAGCAGAGAGTTCAAGTCAAAATGCCCTACGTAATCCTAAAGACCTCGAGTAAATCACTGTAATTTTTAATGATTATTGTGATTTCTATAATCATTTAACACCGGATTTTTAAAAAAAAAAAAAAAAAAAAAAAATCTTACAGTTGAGGCGTACACAACAAACTACTCTTTAATTCAAGAGAAAAAGAAAGTTTGACAATACAAATTCCATTGTTGAAGGATTGGATACGACAAACTAATTAATGAGCATCATATCCTAAAGCAACTGAAATAAATAGTGAGCAAACGAATCAGAAGAGCAAGAGCGTAAACCAAGATAAGTGTATTATCATAACTGAAAATAATATTCTAAATATGAAGTATTATTTAATATATTGAATATCACTAAACTGAATATTAAAATGCATGAGTGAAAAAAAAAATCTAGACACAGAACATTTTGGTGTGTCTAGGCGTGACCAAACGGGCCGGGCCGGGCTGGTCCGGGCAAACCCATGGCCCGGACCCGGGCCCGGTCATTTTCATTTTTTTCCTTTTTTGATAAAAAATTGCTAAAAATTAGTTTAATCTTATTCTATTTATATAAGTATGTATTAGTACTTATATAAAAGGTCCTAATGGTAAAGTGATCAAACAGAAGGTGGTCCCAAATGGTGTGAAAACTGTAAGCTTGTGGGACATGACACTAAGTTTTGTAAAAAATTCCCTATGACTCAAAGATGGGTGCCAAAAGCTATGCTTTCTTCTTAGCAGATTGGGAAAGATGTGCAGGGGGTTTCTGATTCACATGGGAATTTTTCCGGACCTCATGGGAATGAGCATTTAAGTAATCCTGTAAATGGGATTGTAAATGATCAAAGGTCTGAAATTGAGACCTCATGGGAATGAGCATTTAAGTAATCCTGTAAATGGGATTGTAAATGATCAAAGGTCTGAAATTGCAATGCATCTTCCTGTAACTGGTCAGGCTTCCTGTAAATGGGATTGTAAATGATCAAAGGTCTGAAATTGCAATGCATCTTCCTGTAACTGGTCAGGCTAGGAATGAAATCAGGCAGGAGACTGAGTCTGCTGTGCATAATTCAGTATCTGGTATGGGAAATGTGTTCAGGCAGGGGACTGGGAATGAATGTGGTCCTACTCATGAAGTGCATGATATTCATGATCCTGATTTGAATAAATCTATAAACAGGAATTCAAGAGATATTGGTTCCTGCAGTTATTCTGGAAATAGTCCTGTGCATGTTGTGCATGTTCAAGGTCTCTATTCTAGATCTGTTGGTGCAAATAATTACAACAAGAGTTTACTACAAGATGAAAAGGACTGGATTCAAGTTCAAAGTAGCAAAAATAAGAGAGTTCTCACTTCAAGAAATTCATTTGCTCACCTCACTGGTTTGAAGCATGATCCCTCTACTATTGAGAGAGGGGGGGGGGGGGGGGTATGAATTGGGCCTTTTGGAATGTTAGAGGATTTAATAAGTCCTCTAAGCATCATTTGGTGAAACATTATATTTCTCAGTATCATCTTTCTTTTATAGGTCTGCTAGAAGTTAAGATAAAAGATTGTATGTTGCCAATAATTGCCAGGAAAGTTGCAAAAAAATGGAGATGGATGGCTAATATAAACCCCCAAATAAAGCCAGAATTATGATTCTTTGGGATCCAAATCTTCTGGATATTCAGTTGGTAAATCACTCAGATCAGCATATCTCTTGCTATGTCAAATCTTTGGATGGGAGAATAAACTGTGTCATTTCCACAATTTATGGGTATAATCAGTTGGTAGCTAGAAGGGGGTTATGGTCAGAATTAAAACACATTCAACAATCTATAGGAGACATACCTTGGCTGATTAGTGGTGATTTCAATGCATTGATTAAGAATGAAGAAAAGCTAGGAGGCTCTGTGCTTTCAGAGGGTGACTTTATGGACTTTAGGGAATTCATAGATGATTGTCATCTTAATCTTCTCAAGACTATTGGGTGTTTTTATACTTGAAATAACAAGCATGACTCTTGTTCCAGAGTTTGTAGTAGATTGGACAGATCTCTGGTAAATGATTTATGGTTGCATGAGCATAATTCTAGTCAAGTAGAATACTTGCTACCTAATCTGTCTGACCATTCACCAGGGCTGTAAACTATTTTTGATGATCATGTCCATGGGAAAAAGCCTTTCAAATTCTTTAATATGTGGATAAATCATGAAAGTTTTTTACCTACAGTATCAGGTATCTGGCATAAGGAAGTGAAAGGATTTAAAATGTTCTAAGTTTATTCTAAGTTGAAGCTTCTGAGAGGGGCTCTTAAGGAGTTAAACAGGAAACACTATAACAATATTAGTGAACAGGTTCAGAGAGCAAAATTGGCTCTGGAGGAGGATCAAAGGGATCTTCAGCTCAACCTTCTCAATCCTGTTTATATCAACAAGGAAAAAGAGTGCATTGCTCAATAATATAATAAACTGCTGAATTGTGAAATTTCTTTTTATCAACAAAAATCCAGAATTGCTTGGAGCATCAAAGGAGATAGATGCACAAAGTTCTTTCATAATATCTTAAAGAGCAATAGGCATTTAAACAAAGTCCTGACTCTTTATAAAGATACTGGACAAAGGATAACTGATGGGGAAGAAATAGCAAATGAATTTGTGTCCTATTATAAGAACCTGATGGGAAAGGCTATTGATACAAGTAATCCTGATTTTAATGTGATTAAATCTGGTCCCTGCCTAAATGATACTCAAGCCAGTTTCTTACAAAGATCTGTTTCCAAGGATGAAATCAAAGAGACAATCTTTTCTATGTCTGGTAATAAAGCACCAGGGCCTGATGGTTATGGTGCTTCTTTTTTCAAATCATCTTGGCATATTGTTGGGAATGAAGTCACTCAAGCTTTGGAAGAATTCTTCATATCAGGAAAGCTTTTGGGCGTGGTAAATTCAACCTCCATAACTCTTATACCTAAGGTATCTTGCTCTAAAATTCCCTCAGATTTTAGGCCAATTTCTTGCTGTAACAGTCTATACAAGTTCATTTCTAAAATTTTAGCAAATAGACTTAAATCAGTGATGGGTCACTTGGTGAATGAAGCTCAAAGTGCCTTCATTAAAGGCAGACAAATAACAAGTAACACATTGTTAGCTCATGAGTTGGTAAAAAGCTACAATAGAAAGAATATTTCTCCTAGAATCATTCTGAATATTGACATTAAGAAGGCATTTGATACCATCAGTTGGGATTTCTTAAAACATATGCTCAAAGGCCTGGGTTTCCCAAATATATTCATAGACTGGATCATGGTCTGTATCTCAACCCCGAAGTACTCTATTTCTCTTAATGGAGCACTGCATGGATATTTCAAGGGGGAAAGGGGATTGAGACAAGGGGATCCACTCTCCCCATACCTCTTTATTTTGGGAATGGAGTATCTTTCAAGGACTTTGGGTCTTCTGGAGTATGATAAGCGGTTCAAATATCATCCCAAGTGTGGTAAATTTAAAATTACACACTTAATATTTGCAGATGATTTACTGCTCTTTGGGAAATGTGACTTATATGCTATGATGAAACTTTATCAGTGTATTACAAAGTTTGGTGAAATCTCAGGACTTCAAATGAATAAAGAAAAATCCATAGTTTTCTTTGGGGGGGGGGGGGGGTGAGGAAACTCTGTAAAGAACTATGAGAGCTCATCTTTGTTTTCTGAGGGCTGTTTCTAATCAGATTATTTGGAGTCCTCTGATATGCAAAAATAAAAAAATAAAAAAAGATTATCCTATTGAGGATTGTAATTCCTCATCAGTAGTGGTCTCTAAGTCAGATTCAGCATGGAATAAAATTGGAAGCTCTCATATGCAGGAAGGTTTACAAGTAATCAAAGATGTCATTTAAGGAGTTAAATTTTTTGGACTTCAATTATATTGCCAGTAAGAGTTACACAAAAAAATTAATGACTATGTAGGATTTTGTGGGGACATG